CCAGTTTCTATCACCCTCCTTCCTCAGTGGCTTGTATCAGTCAAATGCAGCTTGGCCTGGCCTTCAGGACTCCACAGTACGACCCTAACCTCCCACCGCCTGGCTGCCTTGACTCCCTTTCACACCCCTTGGTTCCAGCCCAGTGGGCTGTGCAGAGTCCCCAGACAGGACCTGTTCTCTCTCCCTCCGTGGCTGACCCACCCACCCTGTTTTCCTTTTCTGGAGTGACCTTTTCTAACCAGCTCCACATTCAGCCCATCCTTGCCCTTTGACCCCCAGCTCAGCCTCTGCTTCCTTACCTGGTGCCCCGGAAGTCCCCTTCCCTTCTGAATCTGTATTTTCATCTGTACCCCTTCTGATGGCAACTGGAGCCATCTGAGCACATCCACCTCCCCGCTGGATCACCCGAGGGCAGGAATCACGTCTTGGGTGTCTTGTATCTCCCACAGTGTCCAGCTCAGTGCCCGACGAGTGATATTTCTTTTTTTTTTTATTCTCACCCGAGGACTTGTTTGCATTTATCTTCAGATAGAGCAGAAGAGAGAGAGGGAGGAAGAGAGAGAGAGAAAAATTGACGTGAGAGAGACACATTGAGTGGTTGCCACCCACATGACCCCAACCGGGGCCAGGGACAAACTGCAACCTAGGTAGGTGTTCTTAGCGGGAACCGAACCCAGGACTCTCTGGTCTGCGGGCCGACGCTCTAACCACTGAGCCAAATGATATTGCAGAGATCTTTGTTGGAGGGAGGAATGAAGATGTTGATTAAGGTTTATGGAAGAACTCACTGCCTGGACCATTCCCATGGGCTGAGCTATGAGGTCCCTCTGCCGGAGCTGGCCACTCACTATCTTCATTAATGATCCTCTCGCAGGAGGAAACTGCAACAGGAGGATGAAGCAGGCAAGAGCTGGTGGGGCTTTTTGCTACTTGGGGAAAGCATGCTTAAGGATTTGTTTGATTCCTCTATTCTATAGCCCACATACTCCATTTGTGGAACATTTTGAGACCCAGAATGGTCTTATACTCTTCTGTTTCCCCGGTTACCAGCACACAGCAAGTGCTTAATAAATGTTTAAAAATGAATGAATACACAGAAACCTTTTTCATACTCCTAAACTGCTGAATCTGGACCAGTCCTGTCCCTGCTGGGGGTGGGAGGGTCCGTAATAGCAGCCTCGCATCAAGATAGCCTTCAGCGTTTCTCCCGCTCTGATTCCCGGTCAGTAGCCAGGCTTGGGATTCAGTCCAACAAGCAAGTACTGACTCTTTCCACAGCCTCCCTGGCACTCTCGCCCCCGCCTTAGCTCCCTGCCTGGCAGCCTGGGGAGCTGGAAGCTGAGATTCGGCTTCAATACCAGTCTTCAGTGGCACAAATAATACCGTGAGCTCCTGTGCCCAATTTCTGAAAGTTATTTGCTGCCTTCTGCTTCATTTACTTGCTGGGACCTCTTGCACTTGCCCATCTTCTCTCTTAAAGGTCTGCCGTGTCTCAGGTCCAGATTCACTCCCTCCTCACTTAATTCTCCCACCATGTAGCCAAGGTTGGGGCAGCAATGGTGGTGGTGAGCTGGAGAATGAAAGATTAATGGTACCATTTTATGCTTGTCAAAAGCAGAAATTCCTAACCTTTGTCAAGCTCACTAACTCTTTGATGAGACAATAAACTCTCTCCCCAAAACATTTTGTGTTGGAGCAAATAATCTTAGAGTCTCAGAATGCCCTGAAACCTGATCTCGGACTTCCCCGTGGCCACTGAGTTCTGACTACGTAACAATTCACTTAGTCATTCATCAGTAGTTTATTAAGAAACTATTTTATACCAAGCATCACTTTTTTTGTACTGAGGATATAACAGTGATTTTTAAAAATACATTTTTTATTGAGTTTATAGTACAGTCAATTAAGTAATCACACGAATGAATATTAAATTAGTAAAATCAGTACTTTATGTGAATGTTTCATTTTATGCGTCGTCTTTAACCAGGGTTTGTGGCAGCTTCCACGAGGCACGGTGGTGTGGCGGCTTCCACGAGGCACTGTGGTGTGGCAGCTCCCACGAGGCACGGTGGTGTGGCGGCACACGAGGCACTGTGGTGTGGCAGCTCCCACGAGGCACGGTGGTGTGGCGGCTTCCACGAGGCACGGTGGTGTGGCAGCTCCCACGAGGCACGGTGGTGTGGCGGCACACGAGGCACTGTGGTGTGGCAGCTTCCACGAGGCACTGTGGTGTGGCAGCTCCCACGAGGCACTGTGGTGTGGCAGCTCCCACGAGGCACTGAGGTGTGGTAGCACACACAGTCAGGTTGTAGGTTCAGGCTTTGTTTCCTTATTAGCTGTATGACCTTACACAGGTTAACCAGCTTCTCCCAACTCCTTGTCTGTGAAATGGGGATGAGAATGTTGACTTTTCAGGGTCATCTCAGGTTCAGAGACAGGCAGCAGACTGCACGGCCTGGCGCCTGTCGGTGGTGCTTAATTAGAAGAAGCTGCTGTAACTGTGGGTAGAGCCATTTTGTTCAGCTCCGTCACTTTATTTATCTTTATTTTTTAATCATCATCGGAGCATATTTTTCTATTTATCTTCAGATAGAGTGGGAGGGAGGGAGGGAGAAAGGGAGAGAGAGAGAAACATCGATGTGAGAGGGACACATCAACTGGTTGCCTCCCGCACGACCCAACTAGGGCCAGGGATGAACTGAAACCGAGGTTCGTGCCCTTGACTGGAATCGAACCCGAGACTGATTGGTCCGCGGGCCAACACTGTACTGCTGAGCCAAACCAGCCAGGGCCCAGCTCTGTCACTTTAAAAATTCTTTGCATGGATCCTGTCTCTCAAGAACACTTGTGCTGCAACCAGACAGGAAGACAGAGGTTTCTGTGGATGCGGGGAGGGGTGAGTGGGCTCAGTCTGAAGTGTGGGGGAGGAAACCAGGACAGCTGCTAGGTGACATCAGAGTCAGAGTCAGTGAGGGGCTGTGGAACCCCACAGGAGGACCACGGTCGGAGCTGACCTGTATAGGTCCGGGCACAGGCTGGTGAGCAGGGTTATGCTGCAGTTTCAAAAGAGAAGCCAGTGAGGCTGTGGAGCCCACTCAACTGGAAAAGTTAATACTTGGAGGAGGAGGGTGATGACTCACGGCTCTGCTATGCTGAGGTCTTGGAGGAATGAGGTAGTTAGTCCCCCTGCTGGCCCTGTGCTGGGAGCCTTAGCAACATGACATTCAGCTGAACAGAACACACTGCCTCCTACATTTCACGTTAGTGGAGGGGAAGCTGAGGAATGGTTCAAAGTGTGGCCAGCAATGGAGACTGCCTGGGTTCAAATCCTAGGCCTGCCACTTACTAGCTGGGTGACTTTGAACACATACCCAGCTTCTCAGTTTCCTTAGCTCCGAAAGGGAGATGAACATAATTATATATAACTGCTAGGGTTCTTAAGGAGACTAGATGATATGACATAATAGAAATTATATGTTGTCGCCCCCTGCACCCGTGTTCCTGGCACACAACTCCCGAAACCCTTATCAATTCCCAAGTGACAAAAGCACCAGGAGCATCTTTTATTCTCATGAGGCAGCTCTGGGTGGACTCCTGGATGGGGGCTGGTCACCAGAAAGACCAAGTGAGAATTGGAAGCTTGGGATTTTCAGCCCCACCCCTACTCCTCTGGGTTAGAGACAGGAGCTGGAAATGGAGTTAATAATTGATCATGCCTAGGAGATAACGCCTCCATAAAACCCTAAAAGTATGGGGCTTGGGGAGCTTCCAGGTAGGGGACACACCCATGTACCAGGATGGTGATGCACCTAATTCTGTGGGGACAGGAGCTTGGGACCCTCCCAGACCTTGCTCTATGAGTCTCGTCTGGCTGTTCATGTGTGTCCTTTATCATATCCTCCAATAAACTGGTAAACGTAAGTGTTTCCTCGAGGTCTGTGAGACACTCTAGCAAATTAATCGAACCCAATGCGGGGGTCATAGGAACCTCAGATTATAGCTGAACTGTCAGAAGACAGGTGACAACCTGGAATTGTTTTTGGTGTCTGAAGTGGGAGGGGCAGAGTCTTGTGGGATTGAGCCCTTAGCCCATGAGATCTGGAGCTGCCTCCAGGTAGACAGTATCAGAACGGGTTAAATTTTAGAACACCCATCTGCCATGACAGAAAGTTGCTTGGTGGGGGACCCCCTCCCCGTACAACTGGTGTCAGAAGTGTTGTGTTGTGTATGGTAGTAAAACAGACACACAGGAGGAAAACCTGTTTTGTTTTCTGAAAACAGATGAGCTAATGCTTACAAAGCATTTTGTACTCAAATGTTAGCTTTTATTTTGCTAATGATCTGGATGGAGCCGTGGGGCCTAATAGATGCCTCTGCTCTTGAGACTTTGCTCCAAGAAAACGTAGACACCAGCTGGATTAACTTTACTCACTACTGAGTCTCTGATACAGAGGAAGATGACCTTGTGTCTTCAGAAAAGGTGGGCCAGGAGCAAGGAAACCCCAACTCTCTGGGCTCCTAGAAAGTGTTCGTGTATAAATTACCTTGTGCTGAGGCCTGTGGGAGGGAGTCCAGCTTAATCGTTATCCTGTGCTCCGGTCTTTATCACACGCAGAGGCCCATGGGCTTCTGAGCTGAAATTCCAGGTCCTGGCGGCACCACTGCCGCGTGTGAGCTCAGACACATGTCTTAACTGGAGTCTGGGTGTCCTCGTTTATAAAACGGCGACGCCTGCATGCCGAAGGTTAGCTTTGTTGGCTTCTTTCTGCAAAAAGCCGGAGACGCAGAGGCCCTGGGTAATCTTGGTCTGTGAGCGAATTGAATCCCCCATCGAACATGCTGTTCAGTTTTGAAAACGTTGATTCAGGTAGGCCCTACCCTAGGCAGATGAAGGGAAAATGCAGACCCATCGTTGGTCTTCAGGGAAATGTTTTTTGAATGAACAAATGAACATGCCCTATAAATATTTCTAATGGATTGCTATCTCTTTTTATTTGCAGATGAGAAAAAGAAAACAAAGAAAGTTGATAATGAACTCAACCCTGTCTGGAATGAGGTGACTTCATTGTTTTTCAACTTTGTTTTAATAGATAAGCTACATCTGATTGTCCTATCTTTGGTCAGAGGTGAGCTCTTCCCTTTGGAAGGAGAATCTCTGCATTTCACCCTGACCCCTTCCCATCTCCCTTTGTGGCTGTGGGAACAGCAGAGCAGTTCAAAGAGGCAAAGCACAGTGACATGTCCTGTCCAGCAGAAGTGTGGTGAACTGAGTCTAAATGACAGTGAAGAGGGTTGGGTTCTAGCCTGGAGTAACCTTGAGCTTGCTGTGTGACCTTGGTCCTGTAGTGTTGCCTATGTGGGCACATCTGTAGAGCAAGGGGTGGTATTAGATCATCTCTGGAGTCTTCAAGGGAAAGCTCCATCATTAAAAACATCTGCATGCGACTAAAAAAGGGTGCGTCACATGATACTTTGTGTGTCTGGCTGAGTCAGGACATTTACTGGTTTTTCTTTTTTAATGTTTTTAATTGATTTTTTAGAGAAAGAGGAAGAGAGAGAGAGAGAGAGAGAAACATCGATTGGCTGCCTCCTGCACACCCACTACTGGGGATCAAGCCCGAAACCCGGGCATGTGTCCTGACTGGGGATCAAAGCAGGACCTCTGAATCCATGAGATGACGCTCAGTCCACTCAGCCACACCAGCTGGGCAAGACATTTGCTGTTTTTATGTTGATAAAATAATATCTATTTAACGTAGAAATTTTGAAAAGTGTCCAGAAGCAACTATTGTTAACATCTGGACTGTATTAATAAATGTCTTGAAATTAACAATTAGCCTTTTAAAGCAAGTACAATTTTCTATCCTGCTTTTTAAATATTATATCTTGAGTACACACCGATATCATTTCATTCAAAAACATTTTAATGACTATGTCATATTGTATTGAAGGGATATAACATAATTTATGTCCTCCCCACCCCAGTGTTTAATATATTCACAAATATTTGAAATTTTTAATTCTTTCCACTGAGTAGGATTTTCCTACACTGACTAATTTTTGAAAAGTTGATCATCGGCCCCATTATTTTTTCCAAAAGCCAGTCACACCTGCCTGGATAACTGTCTCTGATATTTTCACTAAGACAGGAGGCTGTGAAGACATCTTCCCCCAATTGGTTTCAATATCTCTATAAGATAAAAACTATATCTTCTCATTGAATGTGGTAAAGACAAAAAACTCCTTTTATTTTATCCTCACCCGGGGACATTTTTTTGCATTTATCTTCATATAGAGCGGGAGGGAGAGAGGGAAGGAAAGAGAGAGAAACATCGATGTGAGAGAGACTCATTTACTCTCTCTCACCTGCATGACCCCAACTGGGGCCAGGGATGAACCGAAACCGAGGTATGTGCCCTTAGTGGGAACTGAACCTGGGACTCTCTGGTCTGAGGGCCAATGCTCTAACCGTTGAGTCAAACAGGCCAGGGCCAGACAACTTCTTCTTTTTTTTTTTTTATCCTCACCAGAGGACATTTTTCCATTTTTTGTTCAGGTAGAGTGGGAGGGAGAGAGAGGAACAGAGAGAGAGAGAGAAACATCGATGTGAAAGGAACACATCGAGTGGCTGCCACCCGCACAACCGACCAGGGCCGGGGACAAACTGCAGCTGAGGTACGTGCCCTTAGTGGGAACCGAACCCGGGTCTCTCTGGACCGCAGGCCGACGCTCTAACCGCTGAGCCAAACCGGCCAGGGCACAAAGAACTTCTTAATGCCTTTTTGAAAAGCCCTCACACAAAGCGCCAAGGATAAAATAAATAAGAATACACATACATGTGTGTTTAGTGCTTCATGTTTTGAGTAAGCCTAGCATGCCTCTTTGTACTTGAGGTCAGGCCCTGTGGCCGATGGCGGAGAGGTGTATGATCATGTGAGCAGACGTGTCCTCAGCAGGGCATCATCCACCTCACACCATTTTGTTTCTAACACATGTGTTCCTTTGTATTGCAAAATATTTATCAAGTAAACTTTTCCACTGCAATTTTATAACTGAAATTTACCCCAAATGAAATGCCAGCTCCAAACCAATTAGGATTAGTGGTGTGTTCTAATATGATCTATGAGAAGATTCTCCATCTATTCTAGACCCATTATGAGGAGAATTAAATCATGGGTAGACACTGCTTTATATAAACCATTTATTATACAATCAATCAAAGGCATCTGTGGTGCCATGTTGATTCTTTTTTACATATGTCATTAGCAATTTATTGCCAAATAATTTAAAAATAGTAATTGAAGGGGGGGAAAAGGAGAAACATCTGTAACAAAAATAAATTAATAAAAATTGGGAAAAAGTAATAATTGAAGATGATGAAAGGAGACTTGGGGTGGTGAACACACAATGCACCATACAGATGATTGTATTATAGAATTGTACACCTGAAACCTACATAATTTTAGTAGCCAATGTCACCCCAATGAATTCAATAAAAAATAAAAATAACCATTGGAAAATAAAAACATTTTCACGAATACATTTTATTTTATTTTTGCAACAGTTGTGGTAGGCGTTAAGTCAGTTCTCTGACTGTGACACGGGTTGGTGACTTGTCCAAAGCCACAGAGACTAGTAAATGGGAAGCCACTAGTCACTCCAGGTCCTCTGAGGCTGTCTAGTTTGCTCTCCCACAACCCTCAGCAGCCTCCAGAATTTAAAGTTATAATTTAATCACTTCCATTTAACTATAGAGTTGAATAATTTGAAAGATTGTTGCTGGTGAAGATAATGACCCAACATTTAGTGTTAGTACGTTTTACTGTATTCCTAGATCCTTTAAACAGCCTTTTTGTTTTCATAACTTTCTGTGGACAGATTTTGGAGTTTGACTTGAGGGGGATACCACTGGACTTCTCATCCTCCCTTGGAATTGTTGTGAAAGACTTTGAGACAATTGGACAAAATAAGTAAGTTGATTTCAATGGTTTTTCTCATGTAACATGTTATCTTACTATTGTTTATTTTTGGAAAGACTAAATCTTTAATAATAATAACAATAACATTTTATAACACTTCCAACATAATCATACTTTAATTCCATATCATCCTCCCCTTCTGAGCCAGTATCAGACATGGTAAATCAATCACAGTCCTCTTATCCAAACTTCTATATTCCCAAGGGGCTGCAGACTCTAAGCCACCACTAGTCTGTCCAGTTTGGCACATAGGGTGAAACCTGTTTACACTCCTGAAAGTTCGTGGTTAATTGCGTATAGTCATTTCCCACCTCTGGTGGTTTATCTGAACTGTAGCTATATCGGATACAAGCAGAATAATTTCTTCTCCTAATAATGTGTGACACATGCACAGTTCACTCGAGTTATACTTCCAGCCCCACTTCCATCTTAATGTCTTACTGGCCTTTTAAACCCAACAGATCTAATCCAGTTGCTTTGTCTTACTGCCTCTACCAGTTTCCAGTGAGCAAGGGTTAGGATGGTGCCCATGGTGGCATCGAGGGCTGTCCCCTGGGTAAAGCTGGGGGTTTCTCAAATAGATCTCTGTGTGACAGAATGACCTCAGTAAATTCACCCCAGTCCTTGAGCTGGACTTGGGTCTTCTATAGACTCAGAAGCCAGTCTTAGGTAAACAATTCAAACCAACCTAGCTCACCGGAAACCAGTGCTTAACACCAGGTTTCTTACTTGTTGTTTTCCCATGGAAATACATGCCTGGTGGGAGGGCATTCCTACTCTCTGATCAATGAATTCACCTGTTTGTCTTACCACATGGGAAACAGGATTACGCTTGTATCCTTGATTGTAAGATGTCATTACTTGTAAGAAGTACAATTAAATTTATAACAGATTTGGGGAGAGAAGGAAGCCTGATATTAAGTTCTCGCATCAACTGTAAGAAGCTTTCCAATTTTTAGTGATGTCAGTGTATTTAAAAATGCATGTCTTAGCCTCAGGCACATTTGGTATAATCAGAGGGCCTAGATGAGAACAGTAAGTTGAGGTAGGGTGACCATATGCCCAGATTTGCTCGGGACAGTCCTGGTTTACTGTCCCAGCACAATGGTTAATAATACCCCTTTTGCAGTCCGAGAGGCTGGGTTTGGCCAGTAAATTAGATGGTCGCCCAACCACTGGGGTCTTCTCCCTAATGGCTTCAGACTAAGAAGTTCTGGACAGACATCTATCCCTGGGCAGCGCTTTGGTGAGATCCTTTTCCCCATGTTCTATTGCTGGCAATGCCCCTTGTGGCTAATGCACTGTTTTCTTAAGCTACATAAATACGTAAAGGCAGATTCTGGCCCTACTCTCTTGGACAGAAAACCATTCTAGTTTTTTAAGATTATGTTGCATATCTTAGCTTTGAACCAATTATATGATTATCTCTCCCCCTCTCCAAGTCCTACAGGACAGCTTTATTTCCCATATTTCTAAGTTCTGGGAAGTGGTGGTCAGGCCTCAGTGCAGCCTCATGTATGTTACTAACACTAGTCCTTCTCGTCTTTGCTCTCCTCTTTCTGCAAATGGTACCACTGTTTATATCTAGACCAGCCTTCTCCGACAGAAATACAGTGCAGGCTACAGACATAATGTGAAATTTTCTGGTAGCTATGTTAAAAAACAAAAAGAAACAGGTGAAATTAATTTTAAGAATATATTTTATTTTATCTAGTATATCCAGCCTATTATCATTTCAATATGTGATCAATATTTTTAAAACCATTGCAATGTTCTACATGCATTTTTCTTTTTACTAAGTCTTTGGAATCCAGTGTGTGTTTTGCACTTAGAAGGCGTCTCAGTGCAGGTCAGCCACATTGCAGATGCTCCCTTAGCCACGTGTGGCTCGTGGTCACTGTGTTGGATGGCACAGTTCCAGACCACTGGGCTCAAAACCTCAGGTCTCTCTGGATCTTCTCCCTTTTATATTCTATCCAGCCTGATGCCAAATCGTATTTCTTCTTCCTTTCCATCGTTTGTGTCATGTGTTTTTTACTCGTCGCCGCAGCCACCAGCCTGGTCAGCCTTGATCACTTCGCGCCTCGTCTGATAGAGCGTGACGACAAAGCCTGGCAGGCTGGCTGGCCTTAGCTCTCTCGTCTCTGTTGCACACAAAGTGCTTGCTTTCCTAAAGGCTACATGGTTGAGGGAGAGTCAGAAAACAAACAAATACATGAAGAAATGTATAATGGATCAGGCACTATGACCTGCAGTAAGCGAAGGAGGAAACTGACGAGAAAGAAAGGGGAGTGAAAGGCTAGAGAGGGACTGATGGTCAAGGGAGAAGAGCCAGTTTTATGTGACACAGTGAGAAAGTGACAGTTGAGCAGAGGCCTACATAAAGTGAAGGAATGAGCCATGCAGCTCTCCAGGGCAAAGATTATTCCAGACAGAGAGCACAGCAAGTGCAAAGGCCCTGAGACAGGAGGCGTGTACTTGGGGTGTTGGAGAAACACTGAAGAGGCCAGTCAAGGTGGAGCACAGAGAGCAGGAGAATCAGGGGGCGAGGAGGGATGATATCCGCAGAGCCACAGCACACATGGCTTTGTGAGCCACAACACAAGCTTTGGATTTCATTCCCAGTAGAACGAGAATCTATTAAAGGGTTTCGTATGGTTTGACTTATATTTTAAGAGGGTCTCTCAGGCTTTCTATGTGAAGACTGGATGTTGAAATCAGTCAGGAAGTAAGGAGAACAATGCCGAGAGACTGGTTTATGTTTATTTTACACCTGTTGAAACACAGTGGGGCCCTTGGATGACAGCAGTGGTGGAAGAGGACACATCCCCACCCGAAGGCTCACTTTGGTACTTACTTTGAGCGTTCAGTGTGGATTTCTGGAAACAGAGTTGGTGTGTAGTCTGTCTGGTCCTGGACACTTTCTTTGCAATTTTGAATACAGAAAACCACACTGGGTCCTGTTATAAGGGTCCTTCTAAAAGTTGGGGGCTCCATGCATCTTGCTGATATATGAAACGAGCAGCTGTTACTATGGCATTGTTATGATGGGAATGTTTAGGCCTAACAGAAAAAGGTAGATTTTAGGCAAAACATGAAGCTGGCCTGCATTATGCTGTCAACCGTTCCCTCCTCTGACTTCTCCCAGGAGCCCAGTGTCCTTAGTCATGCTCCCGGCTCCCCCGGCCTGCCCTCTGGGCCACATGTGCACCATCTGCCAGTTCTTTTCTCCAACAAAACTTGTCTGTTCTGAAAAAAAAAAAAAAAGTCCAGCCAGTGTGGCTCAGTGGTTGAGCGTTGATCCACGCACCAAGAGGCCGCTGGTTCGATTCCCGGTCAGGGCACATGCCCAGGTTGTGGGTCCGATCCCCAGTGCAGGGCATGTGGGAGGTGGCCAATTGATGTTCTCTCTTATCAATGTTTCTCTCTCTCTCCCTCTCACTTCCTGTCTCTCTAAAGTCAATAAAGGAAAAAACAAAAAAATTTGCCTGTCCTGTGTCCCAGTCCTTCAAGGTCCTTCTGGTTGAAAGATTTCAAGAAACAGATCCAAGTGATGGTGCAACGGCTGCTAATAGTTCACTGTGTTAACTTCCCAGGATCGGGGACCTGGGGACTGAGACCACTGGCGATTCATCAGAAGGAGTGGACAGTAGGGGAATCTTGGGCCCTGTGGCAAGGTCTTTCAGGGAGGTCCTTGGTCCTTTTTAATTAGATTAGTCCTCTGACCTGCAGATTTTCCTGCATAGCTGTTTCCTGTCTCCAGTGAAAGGCCAGCCCCATCTTCTCTGGAGTGAATAGTGTGTGAAGATAATGCCTGGTTTTGCCTGTTCTCTTACTGTCCTCTAACAGGAATTATGGCTTTTGGCCTTATTTCCACCAACTAAAAATGCATGCCCTGGCTGGTTTGGCTCAGCAGTTAGAGCGTCGGCCTGCGGTCCTGGGAGACCCGGGTTCGGTCCCCACTAAGGGCACGACCTCAGTTGCAGTTTGTCCCCGGCCCTGGTTGGGTTGTGCGGGTGGCAGCCACTCGATGTGTCCCTTTCACATCGATGTTTCTCTCTTTCTTCCTTTCTTTCCCTTCCACTCTATCTGAACAAAAAACTGAAAAAATGTCCTCGGGTGAGGATAAATAAATAAATAACAAACAATGCGTAGACCTTAGCACATTACTTGTAGGAAAAAAAAGTTAATCTCATAGCTGTATGATTATTCAAACTATTTCTGTGTTTTGGCCCTAGATTTTCTTTTTGGCTTTTCTACTGAAGCTTTGGCCTTTGAGGACTGCCCACTGCTTGGTGCTGAAACGTTTTCCTCACCTGGAAGCACAGGGTGGGGGCAGAGGATTTTTCTACCAGCTTCAGGAATGTCTTGTCTGTTGACCCTCCTGTTGCTGTGGAGACAGGCTGTGCAAATAGCTCTCTCTCGGCTGCTGCTCTGGGCTCTCACGTCTGCTGCTCCGGGACCTGTAAGCAAACAGTGCCAGGCTGCCTGGGTTTGCCTGTGCACCCACGCCCACACCCAGAGTGACTGCCCCATCCGATCCAAGCAAGCACAGCGCCAGTGAGTCAGAGCATCCCTCCTCCGGCACTGGGAGCGGGCTGGGCATTCAGGGCAGGCTCTGTGCTTCCTCACCTAACAGTCATCCAACCAGCCATCCAGACTGGATGATGGTGAGAGAAGAGCCAGAGGAGCCTCTTGGTCACATGATGAACATGAAATGATATTTTTAGCTGAAATGTCAGAGGGGAAGTGTTTTCTCAGCGGCTGAAGAATGAGAGCGCCCTTTGCAGCCAGGCAACATGGCCATTACTCAGTGAGGACTAGGGTCTGCTGGGGGCTATGCCAAACTCTTTGAATACCTTATCTCACTGTACTCTCACAGACACCCTATGAAACAAGTCCTGTTTTTCCTCAGAGAGGTTTAGTAATCTGTTCAACATCACACAGCAGGTATGTGTCAGAGTCAGCATTTATGTCCAGGCTTGACTTGT